CCCCCCATGGCTGAATTTTCTTGGCACCAAGCTTAACTGCTAGAAATTTTTTACATCTTAAAATTGAAAACAAAGGAAAACACATTTTGCTTGTGTTTTCCTGAAGCCAAGCAGCATTTTTTAAAAACGCCACTTCTAGGGGCGCCTGGGTGGCTCAGTCGTTTGCGTGTCTGCCTTCGGCTCCGGTCGTGATCCTAGGGTCCTGGGATCGAGTCCCGCATCGGGCTCCCTGCTCAGCCTGGTACTCCCTCTCCCTCTGCTACTTCCCCTGCTTGTGCTCTCGCTCTCTTTCTCTGTCAAATGAATAAATAAAATCTTAAAAAAAATAAATAAAAAGCCACTTCTACCTGGAAGGGTGCCCGCCTGGCTCAGTTGGAGGAGCATGCACTCTTGATCTCAGGATCTTGAGTTTGAGCTCCACGTTCAGTGTGGAACCTACTAAAAAATAATACAGGCCACTTCCACCTGGATGTTGCTTAATTTACCAAGTGCTTCCTTATGTGATTTCCCCGCCGCCTGGCTTCTCTTAGTGCTTCAGACAACATCCCGAAAGCAGATGAGATCCGGACCCTGATCAAGGATGTGTGGGACACTCGCACAGCCAAGCTACGGGTGTCTGCTGACAGCTTCGTGAGACAGCAGGAGGCACATGCCAAGGTGGGTGCGCGCAGGGCACGGGGGCCTCCCTGTGCAGCTGCCTCTCCTCCCATGCCCACGAAGGCCGGGGGCTGCCTGCTGGTGCCAGTGAGTTGCCCCCAGCATCCTGTCTGCTTAGATTATCGCAAGCAGGGATTACTAGCTGTGCTGTGCCTTTAAAAAAGAGAAACAAAAACCATTATTCATTGGTTACTTTTATTCAGTAGATTTTACATTTTCTCAAACCAAACACTCCTCAACCAACCCAGTTGATTTTCTCTTGTGTTTTAGCTGGATAACCTGACCTTGATGGAAATCAATACCAGTGGGGCCTTCCTCACACAAGCCCTCAATCACATGTATAAACTCCGTACAAACCTGCAACCTTCTGAAAGCATCCAGTCCCAAGACTTCTAGAGAAAGACCTGAACTTGTAAAGAAAGGCCTTGCATCTGCTGGCCGGAGGCTTGCCGGGTGGTGTGAGTGCTCAAGACATGATAGAGGTACTATTATCTCGAGTTCTAGAACCCCTTTTGAATGTATGAAGAATTGTGTAATGAAACAAGGAATGGGCTCATAACATTGTTGGAAAGCAACAGGTTTGTGCTTAGTCCTCGAGACATTCTTTAATTCCACATCTGTCTCTAGAAGCCAGCTGTTCTTTTATGGGGGAAAGAAAGCAGCTTTGGCAAAACACGTTATTTTCGCTACAGAGCCTGCGGTCTCCTGCTTGGCATTGTCATGTGGGTGAACATTCGGTGACTTTAAGTGTTGTTTTTAAGAGAGAGATATAGTAGGAGTGGCGATGTGGCCTGGGGCTTTTTTCCTTTCTTGACCCTGATCTTTTGGGCTAAATTTAGACTCTCCTAGAGTTTGTTCACACAGAGAAGGATGGCAGATGGGTGGCAAGATGTTGACCAGGGTTCGCCATCTAAGCCCAATAAAGATGGACTCCATGCAAATCTCACGTTGGGTTTTTTCCCTGCATTACTGCCAAGTGAAGAGAGCAAGTCATGTGGCTAAAATGGTCTGACTGATCATACGGAGATGTGTGGCAGGAAGGGGTGATCTTTAGACTGACACTCTGGGTGTTTCTTGTTCTCTTGGCTACTTCTGGTTAAGATGTAGTGGGTTTTTATCAAGAGGAGAGGTGGGGAACTCCCTGGGTGCTTCACGCTCAGCCACCATCATGAACAACACAATAGCTGTCCGGATGAGGAAGTTCATGACCAACTGGACTCCTTCAGTGGAACCAGATGGTCATTGATGTTCTTCACCCTGGGAAGGCACTAAGACAGAAATTCAGGAGAAACTAGCCACAGTGTACAAGACCACACTAGATGTCATCTTTGTATTTGGATTCAGAACCCATTTTGGTGGTGGCAAGACAACTGGCATGATTTAGAATTCCTTGGATTATGTGAAGGGAAAACAGACCCAAACATTGATGTGCAAACACAGCCTGTATGAGAAGAGAAAGACCCCAGGAAAAAAGCAAAAGAAATGCCAGAGCAGAATGAAGGAAGTCAGGGGGACTGCAGAAGGCCAGGCTGGTGCTGGCAAACGGCTAGAGATTGGATGACAGGAGTAAAGATTCTGCAGTGACTTTATCTGTGGTGATTGTGCAGATCTTTCATAGTAATAAACTTAAAACTAAAAAAAAAAAAAGCCTGGGAGAAACAGACTGCATGTTCTGCAGTTTGTGAGGCTAAAGTCCAGATGTTGGGAGGGGAAGTCGGGCCCATATTTCTGCTCTTGAGGGACAGAGGGAATAGACCTGGTTGGAGGCAGCCGTGTCTCAACGAAGGGTCCATTTCTTTTCCTAGGAGAACTAGTTTTCAATTGTAGTGGTTGGAACTGCTCTAGAAATGACCTTACCTTGAGAGGAGAAATGATTTGTCTGGAGTCCTACAAGGGATAGAAGGTTTTGTAGCCAGCTAGTTTTCGACTGTAGCATTGTGAGTCAGAGCACATTCTCCCTGGGGCTCTTGAGAGTGGCATGCACTCTGAAGCCTAAAGAACAGCTTCTGGTTTTTGCCCTTCAGTGTTCAAAGTCCAGACTCCCTTCCCATTACTCAAGCATGGTTTCTCAGTTCTAAATCGCTACCCAGCTGTCCTTCCAACACAGCTGAGGGTTATTATTTGAACACCGGAAGGGCCAGACACGAAGACCTGGTTCTCTGTTATTTAAGGTGACTGTCTTAGAGGGTTGCTTTCAGATGACAGGACTTCCCTTTTCATCTGGGACTCTTCTAGAATGAAACCACATGGTACTGAGGAGGGTCAGGAGTCCCGTAGATCCTAGATCTCACCCCTTAATACCTTGTGTTCTTGAAACCTGGGTGAGGTTATTATCCACTTTGTCTTCATATTTTACCCATAAAGCTTTGATGGTTGAGCTTTTCTCCCCCACCCCGGCACTTTTTTTTGGCCCTATTATAACAAAGATTTTCCTCTTAACATGATTTAGGAAGATTTTATTTTTTTGGATGTTGTCAGAAATTACAGCAATATATTCATAAATACCTAATTACTACATTCAACAAATAATATTACAATACAATTAATTCAAACAAGTACACTTAGAACAGGTTTAATTTCACAGCATCTAAACTGCCCCCAGAGTGACCGAGGCATTCCTCCTCCCTCTCATGTACTGGTTTTACTGTTCTACGTTAAGCACAGGGTACATACAAAGTAACACAACCAATTAGCATGGTCTTCCTCAGGTCAAGGCAGAGGTAAGAGTTTCACTTAAGCGCTGGACCAGAAAGTTGGGATGAACTTACTGCAAGTAGTGAGGAAGTCAGTAACTGGTTTCCTTGAAGGAGTGCAGGGATGACTGCTAAGTGGCTAATATACACCTAAGAGTAACAGAATCAGCTTGTGCTGACCATCTCCATCTTGTGGTGGATCCTTGGAATTTTCTACTTAAAAACGACTCAGAGGGAAAAGGGGGTTATCTGATTTTTGAAATTTGGCAGCATTATTGAGCTGTTTGAGGAAAATACCATTCCACGTACGAACTTGAGATTTCTTGTGTTGTAATTCTCGGCTGCTGAAAGTGTGGGCTCCTTTTACTATTCTTGGAGTTTCTTTAAGGATATAATCTATGAGAATGTTAATGCCAATTAAGTGTTTAGCCTATATTCTTTCCATAGGAGAAACTGTTAAGTCTTACCTTGGTCACTTATCTGAGATAATGGATTAAGATCCTATTTTATGTCCGTTTGGCTCTAATTATGTGAAAACATTTCCAAATGATGAGGTTATATAGTGCCAAGTTTTAGGGAGAGCTCTGGTTTGTTTCTAATGATCTGATTAAATGTGGAACCACCTGACCTTGGCTTTGGGAGAGCACCCTCACAAGTTGAGTGAAATCCCCTTCAGGACAGATGGCAGCCCTCTCTTCCAGGTGCGGCAGGAAGACACAAGGTCGTGAAAGACAGGTCTTCATGAAAATACTGACAGAAGTTGCATAACCCATTCTAGAGCAAATGTGGTGTACTTCTGAACTTCATCTTTTAAACTCATTGTGAACTAGCTGAACAAAAAGCTTCAGAAATTATGTATCTATTAAATTTTAAGCCCAAACTGAAGAGACTTAGGTGCTACTGGGCTGTTTCTGAATCATCTGAAGATTACCAGATGGGAAAAACCATTCAAGCACTAGGTCTTAATGGTACACTTTTGTTTTCTAAAGATGCTTTCTTACCTTTTTCTGAGTTTCTTCATGCTGCCTTACTGGTTTATATTCTGATTGTCTTATTACAGATAGGTGAGAGTGTGGGGAGGCAGAGTGACAGAAGCAGGAAGGCAGGGGCAAGGTGGTGTTTTCAATCAGAAGGGACAGGAGCAGTTCTTCTAGCTCAGGGACACAGCTTGTACCCCTGGTCAGAGACCTCTCCCGTATGGCTGCATCCCTTTACCCCACGACCTCCTCCCATTACAGAAAACCCCTACAAGGGACTCGCCTGGGCTGGTGAGGGGCTGGGCTGTGCTTCCTGTTTCCTCTGGCCATTGCCAAGCTGATCAGCAGGGGCATCCAGCCCTTTCCTGTGATGGTGGGGGACAGGGAGTGAGGTGCAAAGATGTAACTCTTAAGCTTGCTGTTTCAGACTGGAAGTAGCAAGCCGACTTTAGAGACATTCAGTAATAGTTTTCCCTGACTGTTGGCAGTAGAGCTCCCTCTGAACACCTGTCCCCACTTGTGGAACATGTTGATCTCTCAATGTCTTTGCAGGGGAGGAGGCCCACAGAACAGGCCTTCGTTCTCTTCAAGTCGTTTTTGCGGAGAGGAAGGCGCTTGTTGACTGCTGCTAATACTGGCGGCACTTTTTGTCTGAGTTTGCTAATAACTGGAAGATTCTTGGCAGACATACAAAGCAAACGGTGTGGGAACAGATAAAGCAACGCAGTGCCATCTGCCAGCAAGCTGTTCTGCACAGCTAAGGTCTGGGGCTGAGGGTGCGGCCACTGATCGCAGTGAGTAGCCTTCCTGAAGGTCAGCCAGCCCTTCCCCTGACCCGGGGTGAAGGGGACAGTGGCCATCAAGACTCTTGCCTCCACTCCCACCCCCGACAGACCAACCACTGGCTGCTTTGGCCTCCGGTTTAGGCCCATTCGGCAAGAGATTATCTGCTTGATCTAGATTAGGCACTGCCTGAATAAGCAGTAACTGGGACGAGAAGGAAACACTCTTTGCACTAAGATGGCCTTCCTAGTTTCTAGCCGCTCCTGTGCTCTTAACAGTAAGTTCCCGAGAGGAGGAGGAGTTCAGCTCAGACATTGTTTACCCTACTTTTAGGCTTTTACAAAGCTTTGCATCTAAATAAAGCTTCTAAAGTTTCTACTTTGCACCTGTTCTCAGACTGCTGTAAGACACCTTCGAATCCTATCACAGAACTCGCTCACTTCCTGACTGGTTCTTTCAACAGAGCTGCGTGCACACATGGCAGCTGCTCGTTCCCGCCTGGGGACGAGGCCCTCCTCAATAGCAACTGGTTCTGTTTGCCGTCCAGAGCCAGGGGGAGGGGACAGGAGGAGGTAAGAAGGAACACATGGCTTTCTACATCACTTTCTGGTACAACTCAAAAATGAAGTGATCTCATAGGCGCCAGTGGTAAGCTCTTTTACTTTTCAATTTTTAAAAACACTTCAATATTTTAATGTCCTGACCAGCAGCAGTACAAACACTAAAAGCAAGTTTTTTTGCCCAGAAAAACAAAAGCAAAAAAACAAACAAAACCCCCAAACAGGAAAACAAACAAAAATCCCCCCAAACCACATATTAAAAATGGCAGGCTTTTTATAACAATAATTAAAGTAATAAAAACATACAAAACTTTGTTTTTTAATATATATACACAGTACAAGGCTGAAGCACCTTTGACTTTTCTCTCAAAATTTACGTTTGTATGAAAACACAGCCCGCCGCAGTAACAATCGGTGGGTGTGAACGTATGTAGACACACAGCTCTGTACATTTCCCCCCACGGAGTAATAAAAAGGTACCTTCAGTTTGTTGATGCGCTTTAGAGAAGAGCTTTTCCAGGGAAAAGCCTTTGGGTGAGGCTTCAGTACTGTTGCTTTGTGTGCTCCTAGGACCTGTTGCTTCGAAAATTTTGCAGAAAAGTAACAAACAAATAAGCCCTTTACCGGAAATGCACCCCACCTTCTTCCAGCTGAAGCAGGTCTCAGTCCTGGGGAGGAGCGAGGCCGACCCAACGCTGCAGCGAAAGCAGACTGGGTTCTCAGGACGTGCTAACACGGCCACACCAGGAACAGAACACGCTCGGTCTGATCCAGTCTTATGCACCCAGGGGCCATAAATGATCAAGTTTTAGTGTTGGTAAGGGAGCCTTCACTTTCAGATTCGAAAATAATGACCGGGGGAAGAATAAAACCACCTTTAAAAAGAACTATGGGCGTCCTACATCGGTTGCTCACTGAATGACAAAGGTGATTCAGCTGCATTGAAGTCAAGGCGAGTTCATTCGTTCTTCAGAGCCTGGAATCCTTTGCTTCATGCATGGCACATTCTCTTTTTGTTTTGTTTTAAGCTTCAAACCTCCCAGTGAAAAATATTAAATATTCAAGGTAATAAAATAGATAATATTTCTATACTATAGGTTCGGCCTAGTGCAAGGGAAACCGTCACCTAGGATATCCCTTAAAATAACCTCTAGGCCAATGCATTGCAGGCAACGCAAGGCACTTCCTTAAGTGATCCAGTTCTGCCTGGAGTCGCTCCCTCTCTGAAACAATCTTCTGTTTCTGGCTTCTCAACTCCTGGAGAGAGAGATTCAGGTAAACCATTCATGTTGTAGTAGGGCAATGGGTGTGATGCATGAATGCTCTGGGGGCCATGAGGAAAGGCACACCTTCTAGGCTCTCCCGGCTCAGGATTCTGACCGTGGTCTCTGGATGAACCAGTTCAAGCTGTGCCCAAAGCCTTAGGTTCTCACAAGGACCTGCTCACTCCCACAGAACCAGGGTACACTGCTGGCTGAACATCAGCCCTAAGATTTTAAAAAATTAGCCCATAAAACTGCTGCTGGAGTTGCCAAGACCTGCGGCCCCACGGCCCCATGCGCCAAGAGGAAGCCAGGGAGGGGGTGATACCAGCGCAGCTGACAGAGCAGTGGGACCCGGCTCCAGGAGCAGGAGGGGCCGCTGTCCTAAGAGCTTTGCTCCTCCTGTAAGATCCTCCTCCGTTCAGCAAATCGTCGGGGGAGATGGATACAGGTACTAACTCGCCCAGAGGGAGATTAAATTAACATCTCGCTTCCAGGATCAATATTCATAAAAGAGCATTATCCCTCAAAACTCAACTGCATGGGTACTGAAAGGTTAAAGCAAGCAGGGGGTGTTTTAAGACCACCCCCACCCAGCTGCTGTTTATTCTCCTTCCGAGGGCGGCACGAGACTCACCGCCATGCTGTGGGAGAGCTGCTCGGCTGTGAGGCTGAGGCTGTAGTGCTGGGCCTCCAGCCGTCTGCACTGCGTCTGCAGGACCTGCCGCTCCAGGTTTTGCTCTGAAAAGATACACGATGTTGGGATGCTTTCTGTACCCAGGGGCCCTGGGCCTGGTCAGGGCTGCCCTCCTCTTGAGGCAGCCAGAGCTCTCCTTTGGCCCACAGCGCCCAGCCCCGTGGCATACAGACAGAGGACCTAGCATCAAAAGGCTATTTAAGACATACACCTTAGGAAGTCATTAAGGGCAAATGTACGGTCTTAAAATGCATTTTTCAAAAGAAAAGATAAAAAATTTAAGACTTAGGTATGAAAGCTTTTAATAAGCTGCTAAAAAAAAAAAAAAAAAAGCCAGAGTAAACTTGAACTTTGAAAGTGTAATATCTCTGCCTTTCCAAAAGATCTTGGGCCTGGTTTTAACAGGAGTGAGTTCTAACTTTCAAGGATAAATCTCTGCTTTCTGTGAAGTGTTTCAAGAATGAAAGCCAGGCTGGGCTGAAGCCTTAGTGCTTTTCCTGTGTCGGCTGTGGAAACCTATGCAGAAAAAGGGGTCAGCAACTGCAAGTAGTGTGGAATGCTGAGCCCCCTACCTGGAGGGCACTTGTCCTGGAGAGTCCCGCAGTCCTCGGGAACGAGAAGTAAACTTTTTTTTTTGTAGTTTGACAAAAGGAATGAAAGCCAGGACAGGCTAGCTGACTGAATTACAGAGGCAGAACAACTGCGACAGCAAAACGCAGGGCAGTAAAACCCGTCTCCTACCGCTGAAGAGCACAAACTGGAAGTGCTAACAAGCTCAGCCAGCAACAGCAGAGAACACCAAAGGCACAAACACGAAGGCTGTCCCCTCCATGGACCTACGCACCACGTGAATGCGGACGGTCCTGTGCCATCAACACGGCAGCCAATGACAACCTTTATTTCTTCCCAGTGCTCTGTTCAATAGCCCAGAGGTCCTCGGGATGGCAGCAGGACAAAAAGTAAAAACTCAGCAGAACTAAATTTGATTGACAGAAGGTCTGACCATCTACGATCATGTAAGGAATAAAGGAAAACAAAAACTAAAAAATCCATGATAACCGAACTAACACCTAAAACTCAATGTAATAAAAGGATGCTGCTTACGGCAAAAAAAAAAAAAAAAGGGAGGGGGGAGTAAATGGTTTAATGCAATTTAATACCATAATCCTAGAGGTAAGAGCACTGCTATCAAAAATACTAATTCTCCCCAAGTCTGTAAATTCAGTGCAACTGCAAATTCTAAGAATTTTTTGGAACAAACAAGGTGGTCCTAAGATCCATGGGGGGACCCCCAAGGGCCCAGAGGAGTGCAGCAGATGCAAGCATGGTCCTCAGCAGAGAGCGGCCAAGCCAGTGCACCCACTGCGCGGCCCAGAGACGGGCTCCACAGCTCGCCCCGGGCGTGGCGGAGGGGGCCAAGACAGCACCCCACACACTGCCAGGGTAACTGTCTATTCGCTGAGGGGGGGGAGGGGGGATGAATTTCTACCTTAAGCCATGCACGGAAATGAATTCTAGGCCTAACGAAAGCAGGGCCTGATGAATTTTAGAAGAAAATGGAGAGAATTGTGTCCTCGGGGCAGTGAAGGATTCCCAACAAGGCACCAAAAAACAAACCCAGATAAGATGGACACATTTCACCCCGTGAAAAAATGCTCTATACTGGTTCTGGATACATATGTATTCACTTGGAAACAACGTGTAAGGAGTGAGCAGTTCAAAACAGGATTCCTCGTAGGGGAGAAAGCAAAGTGCAGGAGCAGATGGGCTGCTTGTGGTTACACGGGCATTCCTTTTGTGAGTGTTTTAAAATGTGTTCTCAAAGGCTTTGCAATGATTAGGACATTCCATAATCAAATGTAAAAGGATTCCCAGTCCATGCTCAGAATGAAAACTCCTCTGAATGTTAAGGCATGAGTCAGGGAGCGGTAGTCCCCCTCCCCGACACCTCAAAGATGGTCGGGGGGTGGGGCGGGAGGCCAACAGTGGGCACCCAGCTCACCACCTGCCCTTCCAGACGGGGCAGGGGCCCCCTGCACTGAAGTCAACACAGTGCAGCCTCCCAGCCTGCAAGCTAGATGCCTCTCGAGGAAACGGAGGAGCAGAGAAATGAGCCAGTGTGCGACAAGCACAAGGACAGCACTCAGGCCTTGTGACCCTCCCACCCACACCCCCTCACCCCAAAGCACTAGGCCAGGGCAGGAGAGGCGTGCGGTGGCTGGTGAGGGCTCGCCTCCCTGCGCCAAGCGCGAGCCCGGGAGGGTGACAGGGCCTGTGAGGGAATTGCCAGCAGCCTTGAGGCACTGGAAGGGGAGGCAGCCTCTGGCAGTGACAAGGCCTCACTATCTGGGGGCTCAGCTAAGTTCATAAACCTTCTGTTTTCAGGCCCCTTGTGTGTAGCCACAGTCAGAACTGATGGGACTACTGAGACGCGCGATGGAAGACAGCAAGCACAGAGAGCATGTCCCAGGCTTGGCTGTCAACACTGAGTGATGGCAGGCACTGGAACTTAAGTTCCTCCAGTGATAGTGGCCTCCAGTCTGTAAACTGGGGCACCTGCAGAAGCCTGAAGAACAGTTCTTGAAATAGGCAGAGTAGCAGAGGAAAATTACCTAGCTGTGCCCCAGGAACGCGGAGTGTTAGTGCCACCACTCAGAGTCCCCGGGGTTGGCAGGGAGATCCCACACAGATGGGATGAGGAGCTGGTTTTACTTTCTTTCCCATAGCCCTTGGCCCCCTGCCCCCCTCACTGTACCTTCTATATGTTCCTGGTAAGCTTCAAAGATTGCCTCAATCCCTTGCCACTTGCGCCTGGGGGGTTCGTCCTCCTCCTCCTCTCCGTCTTCCTCGTCCTCCTCTGAGTCCTGGTCCATCTCCTGCGTGAGGGGGCCCTTCCTCCCAGGGGGGGCCTCCTGCTGCCCGTTGTGCTGGGGCAGAGGGAGCCGGCTGGAGGACTGTAGCTCGGGAATGTTGTAGTGGATGGACGTGTCAACTTTGTGGTTCTGCTCTGCAGACAGCACGGCTACGTTCCCTGCGGGGACAGAACAGGCTCGTCACAGGCCTGCAGGAGCGTGTGTGACTGCAGGTCTGCTGACTAAAGGCAGTATGGAGAGACCTGTGCCCTTCAGAGGTCAAACATGGCACCCAAGGGCTCTACAAAAAGGAAGGGCTTCTAACTCAGAGAGCCGTAATGACCATAGCAGCCCTGGATGTAGTCCACTCAGTCCTAACGGGTGTGCGGTCTCAGCCACACCGATCCCAGAGCGTCAGCGTCCTGTTATAGGAAATGGTGCTTGAGCCTGGTCTGCAGCTGGCCCTCTGTGGATACCAGTCCCCACTCTCTCCGAAAGTGCATGTCCCGTGGTCCCCAGGCATACCCCGTTAGCTGTTGTTCGGACCTCTTTAGACAAGGTTGGCGCCGCCCTGTGGCATGGGCCCGCAGGGCGTGCCCTAACAGGTACACACGGCCTCTGCTACGGCCTGGGACGGGCGCAGGCGATGCACCTGTAGAGCTCAGACTGGCAGGAGACGCGTGGCCTTAAAATCCCGAGGAAGGGGTGCTAGGGTGGCACAGCTGGTGGGGCGTCCGACTCCTGAATTCTGCTCAGGTTGGAATCTCTGGGCCCCTGGGGTGGAGCCCTGTGTGAGGCTCTGTGCTGCGCAGAGAGCCTGCTTCGGATTCTTGCACGTGCGCTAAAATAAATGAATCTTAAAGAAATCTTAAGGAAACAGTTGAGTATAATGTCAGGAAAGGGTTGATGTAAAACAAGGCAGGAAAAACATGTCCTAGATCCACAGAAAAGCCTCTGTGAGGTGTGTCTGGGAGGCCATGGGGTATTTAACCCGGGCATCTTGTCAAAAGTATTTTCTCCTTGAAAAACAAGATTCGTTCAAGTAAATTCATGACAAACACCCAGTCAAGAATTCCTCCAGATTTTCATTGCGAAAACCACCACCCTTTGCTTTTTGGTATCTTTCTGTCTCTGCTGATGGCGGCGTTAACTTACTTAGGAGATGTTGACACAGTGTCAGAGTTGTGCGTCTACAGAATGCTTATTTACCCACATTCCTCTTTTATAGTTTGTAGTAATAAACATGTTTGGCCTAATAACCTAATTATCTTCTTCTGGCTATTAGAGCATACGAAAATTTTATACTCAGTAGTTACTTAACCATTGGGGATTTTCCCTCCAGTCAGTTTCAACCTTTGATTCAGTGAGAATGAGCTGTAGTGACTCCTGTTCTCCTACCTTCGGGGACTCCCACCGAAATGTCCAAGGGGAGTGGATCCGGGGGCTTGAGTGTTATACAAAGTGCTCTCTGAGGTTACTGGAACAAACACCTGCTGGTTATCAAAGAGCAGGGAGATTCCCAGGTGAGTGTGTACGGGAATGCTAGAAAATCCATAAGCTACAGAAGGAACAGAGCCTCTCTGTGCCTGAGAGACCCCTCACCTGGCTCTACAAAAAGGAAGGGCTTCTAACTCAACTCAGAGGACGTTGCTCGTTAACTTTTCTTGAAGTGTGCTCAGTAGACCAGGGGCACCATCATCACCTGGGCACCTGTTAGCAATGGAGACCTCTTGGTCCCGTCTCAGGTGCCTTGTGCACACTGAAGTTTAAGGGGCAAGCCCCTGGCTGCAGCTGAGTGCTCCAGGCTCCTCTCGTGACATGGGAGCAGGACAGGGACAGGCAGCCTCTTTACCTTTATGCTTCTGCAGGGCCTTCTGGGTGGACTGCAGCACAGACTCGTGGAACTGATGTGCAAACTCCTCCGCCATGAAGGGCTCCCACGGCTTGCTCTTCCCGTTGATGCTGTGGGACAGTGGCACGGGAATGTCCTTGGGCGCAGGGCCCCGGATGTAATGAAGCATGCTTAGGCTCTTCTTGCCCCCGGGGGCCTCACTCAGCCTGGCCTTCTCGCTGCTGGCAGGAGCTGGCTCCTGGACCCGCGACAGCTCCTGCGGCCGGAGCTGCTCCAGTCTCCCAGGCTCCATGGCGTTTGCAACGTCAGACAAGGAAGCAGCAACACCCACAGGCTTCTCCGTATCCAGAGAGGCTTGCTGCGTGGCTGGTTCTTTTAGAGACAGAAAGCGAGGAAAATGTTAAGAGCGGCAAGTGAACAGGCGGACCCTGACCTCTAGAGCTCACGTTTAATAAAGACCTAGTGCAAAGGACGAAGACTCAGGGGGCCGTTTAATTAAACGTCAGTGAGCGCGTGTGGTCAGAAGGTGGGGCTGTGTTCAGCAGCAAGTCCATCCTTGAAAGGCGCCCCAGGAAGGCATCTGGGAAGAAAGAGAATTTGAAGGAAGAAGCAAGTTGCTTCAGATCACCCAAAAGGTAGATGTTACGTGGCCCAACCCGGTAAGAAAGACCATGTTAGGATTTGAGAACAGGGCCGGACCATAAAGATTTCCTGCTCCACTCAGCAGCGCAGCAAGGTTTAACCGAAGCCATGAGAGAGAGAGAGAGAGAGAGAGAGAGAGAGGAGGTGTGAAAGTAGGTGTCGGAGAGGCCTGCAGGGCAGAACAAGCAAGACGGTGACACGAGAGAAGAGTGCCAGCTCGGGGCCAGCAGGAGCAGCAGAGCCGAAGCAGCAGGTGCCGGGATCTGGGGCACGGGGCTTCCGAGGCCTGGCTGGACTGTGACTACACTGACCCACCACAGACAGCCCTGCAGAAGCCAGGACCGTCCCCATCGGCTCGCAGCCCTGACTTCCCACTCTCCTGCTCTGTCCCGAGGACAGCCTTCCCAACCATGCAGGGAGCTTCTGAGAGAGAGAGAGATGGAGAGAAACACACTCTGTGTCCAGGAAGAAAGATTCATGACGAAGAAGACCTTGAGGGGTCGCCTCTGACCTCGGGCAGCCCTCGGGACAGTCCCAGGCGGCGGCGGAGGAAGGGGCTGTCCTTCCCGCCCTGGGCCTTACCGCTCAGGGAGACAGCAGGACTGTCCCTCGGAGAGTTCCTGAGTGGGTCTGCCACTGCTGCGGACAGGGCCTTCTGCTTCATGGCATGGAGCATTTCAACAAGTTTCTCTTTGTCTATGAGAAAAGCAGCCTGAGATTAACAACACCGTTGCGTCACTGCTGAGAGGGAAAGGGAGCAGGCTGCTAGCCCAGGCCGTGACTGGCAGGTGCAAGTCCTTTAAACCAACAACAACAAAGCAAGCACCAAAGGGACAGGCTGTGTTTAAAGGAAGAAATCTTCATTTTAGAGTGAGCCCAGATTCTGCTTAGCTTTTACTACAGAGCGTTCTGGATGCAGTCCAAAAATAACTATGTGTGTACAGCAAAATAACGGGTTCCTATGATCTTCGGAGGTGACTACCAACGCCGTATTCTTATTTAAAAGACTCAGACACACAAAAGGTCCCAACACAAAGAAGCAACCCCAGAAGATCCACACATCCTCCTCCCCTACAGCTCCTGGTATGTGAGCCCAAGTCCCAGGATGGTTGCCATCTACCGAAACGGGACCAGAGCCCCGTGACGCCTACCGCGGCGAGTCCCTGTTGCGGTGGCACTTAAGTGCTTCTGTTATTGGTGGCGTCCTCTAGGAATTAGGAATTAAGTCAGGCAAAAAGATGCTTGTTACAGACTGTTCTTGTTCCCAGGGACTGGTGCTGGTGATCAATACGTCACTGCCTCAGAGTGCACGGCTTCCACTTTACTGGTTAAAGGCAAAAAGCAAACGGCCACGCCCCACTAAAGAAGTAAGTGGAAGCAAGTACGTGACCAGTAAGCACTTCTGCTTTCATCTGGACTCCTTCCAGAGAGAAGGGACCACCTAGGTGTCAGCAAGTTGGACTTGGAAGTGTGCAAATGAGCACCTGGACAGGCCAAGTTCTCACCTGAACTCACATCCTGGCACTAAGCGAGCATGGGGAGCAGACCCAAGAAGGGGATACCAGAATGCGTTTAGAGCGCACCACTCCTTCTGCACTATGGACTCCAGCCCAAGGAGGTGGCCCCAACATGGCCCCCGGTGGCTGGACGGACCTGGAAGCACCTTCCAGGGCAAGCTGTCCCATCACGGCATCTGCTGGCTCTGCCTGGCCGCCACGGGCCACCCCGAGCCTCCTGCCATGGGAACACGAAGTGCCGTGGGCCATGCCGGCCCCCACCAAGAGGAAAGAGCCGCTACTGCGGGAAGGTGCGATGCGACCGTGCACCCAGGGGTCGTCCCACTTGCCGGGAAGTCTGACAAGTGACAGAGCAGCCGACAAAAGTGGGCTTTACACACAGAACAAAGGCCACTGATGCGACAAGAGAAATGTGCTCCAAGGAGGGGAATTTGCGTTTGGGGTGGAGAGAAACTGGATGCCCGAGAGACACGGGGGTAGGCCTGTGAGAGCAAAGTGGCTGCCGCCTCGGGGGCCAGAGGAAGTTGAGAGAGCCCCAGGATGAAGTGGTTCCAGGTCCCACCAGGAGCCCACGGCCCCTGCTTGTCCAGAAGCTCATGGCCACAGTGACCCCACCCCGTGGGGCCCGCACCAGGCCATACCTTTCCTCTTCTCGGCACTGATGTGAGTCAGGTTGAAGATGGTCAGGAACTTCTTCTTCTCTTCGAAGTTGGGGCTGTTGTTCATCTCGTCGGGACTGTAGCGGGTGGACAGTGCCAGTCTCGGTGAAGGCGTCTGCCGCTTGTTCTGAATCGTCGGGGGCGACGGGCTTCTCTCCCTCAGCATCCGCCGCCGCTTCCTCCGCTTCTGGGTCAGCAATTCCTCCTTCTGCTGTTGGGTGGTCAAGCCAAAAAGTTGCAAAAACTCTAGCTTCTAGATTGGGAAAGAAAACAAATGAGCTTGAAACCACTGGCAGTGGCATGCTTCCACTGTCCCAGGGGCCCCTCCTGGGGTCCGTGCAGGCCCTTGTGCCGTGGCCCACTCTGCGCTGGGCCACAGAGGGGTAGGACCGTGACAGTGAGTGCGTCCAGACACCCGCAGTCTGTGGGCATGGAGGAGCGCAGGGAGTCCCAGCAAGTGCGGGGCTGCCCGGGACAGTGGGAGGGAAGCCAAGAAGCAGGCTCTGATGGGGGCACCAGAAGCCCAGCCTGCAGCCCCACATAGTGGGGACCAGATTCCAGATACCTCGGAGGAAGTGTCCAGCTTGAGTGGCGGCTGCTCGGCCACGCAGCGGAGGTGGGCCCTGACCTCCTCCTCGTCGCTCTCATCGTAGGAGTCATCCACGTCGTAGAAGTATCCTGGGGGCAAGAACGGATTCATCGGGCTGGGCAAGGAGCCTTGTCCTCCAGCGGATGCTGCATACACGGGGCCCCTCTGTGTCGTGTGTACAGATGCACCTGTGAGACCAAGCCCTGCCGACCGCTCTGAGCACCCCAAAACCCAGATTCCTTTTATCCCAGGTGGTAATGTGCATTAATGTAATGGTATCCCAGGTGGTAATGTGCAGTCCTAGGATTTTAGCACTTTATAGGGATGGCAACTGGGGGGTGGGGGTGGAAGATGCAGGAGGCAGACGCCAGGCTTCCTCTGGACCCCAAGTGACCAGGCTAAGGTAGTGTGAACGGACAGTGCTCTCTCTGCAGGGAATCACTCAGCCCGCAGGCCTGGGGCTGTGTCCATGGCAACCCAAGGCTGTGTGTGCATATCCACTCCCTCCTACTGTGGCCATCTGGGTCCACTACCCAGGAAGGGACAGGCACACTCAGGGCCCTTCCTAAGATGCAGAGAACTGTAGAACGCCTGCACCAAGGGCACCAGGGTATCCCCTCATCCTCCCTCACAAGGCAAGCGGAGGAGAAAAATACTTGTCAGGCCTGAAATCTAGCCTAGAACCACCACCTGGGAAGACCTGGCCTTGGCCCCAGCTTCTGGCTAAGAGGCTGAGTTCAACAGGAGAAAAGAAACTGGTCTGGAGTAGCCCCTGACCCCTCCTGGTCAGACAGGGTGTGCAGGTGGGGGGACAGCCAAGGGCACCTGGGGCCTGCTGGCTGACACTCCCCCACCCCCACTGCAGAAGCAGGAAAGGGGGCCAGACCTGCCCTTGCCCCACTCCCACCTGGGCCTGCCGCCCCCGAGGACGGCAGCCCCTAGGAGGAGCCCCCACCGGGCCCAGGCCTGTTCTCTCAACAGCCTCCTCCCTTGTTACACTGCACCGTTAATATTTAAAACCGTGTTATAAGCCTCTGTTCATCACTTATTAATTGTGTGTGTCTGTGGAACCATCCTTCCAGAAAGCTTTGATTTGGCTTTTTGGGCCAGTTTTCATTGTAGCAGGATCGGCAGGGACCCCAGGTCTGTCTCCCCAGTGGAGGTGTCAGATAGCGACACGGAGGCCAGTGAACTTGCTCCCTGAGCTGCTAACAGCCCACGGCAGGAAGCAGGAGTGGGAGGAGGGCTGGCACCGCTGCCCCCGCAGTCCCAGGAAGCCTCCAGGGAGACCGCACCTTTCTCCTGGGCCTCTCGCCGCCTGCGCTCCTCCAGGTCCAGCTTGCTGACCAGCCTCCGCCGCTGCTGCAGGAACTCATCGTAGATGTAGGCGGGGTCCGGGCCCCGTGGGGCTGCGGGCCGGTACGGTGAGCCTGGCTTCAGGGGCCCAGTGAGCTCCCCAAAGGGGGCAGGCTGGGTGAGGGAGGCCCGCTGCTGGCCCAGGATGGTCTGGGTGGATTTTTCCAGCTCAGCCAGAAAGGGCCCGGGCCCGTGAGGAAAGGCCTGGTGCTCCAGGCTCGCTGCCTCTCTTGGGGGTGGCTGGTACTTGTCCAGGGGGGTGGCCTCTCGCTTCCGGGGCCCCTCTTCCACCTTCTCCGGGCAGTAGACCCGTTCCACCTTCACCAGTGGGACGGCCGCCTGGCGGCTGGGCTCAAACGGAGTGGGGTGGCTGTGCAGAGGGTGGCTCTCAGGGGCCCGCCGTGTCTCCAGGCTGCTGTCCATGAGGGACACCGGGTTCCAGAGGCCCGTGGGCACAGAATGGTGCTGGGGCTTGGGCGAGATGAGCGGCGGGGGCCCGCCAAAGTGCTGTGGGGCGTCTCGGCCGCCCAGCTCTGGACGGTTTGGTCCTGGCCTAGGGAATGAGCAGAGCAGGCCATCAGTCACATAGCAGCCCCGCCCGCTGCCCACCCAGGAACTCCCCGGAGAGCAGAGCTGGAGGGGCACCAAGGCTGCTGCCCGTGGACTCCCATCTCCCCTGCACAGAGCTGGAGGCAGGTAGGTGTAGACTTTTGAGAGGACACAGAAGCTCAAAGGTGGACACTGCTTGCTGAGGACAGAGACAGTCTCAGGCCAGACCCACCTGTGCTCCTGTTTCTCACCCATGACCTGGCAATAGCTCCTTACGTTCTACCACTTCCTGAATCCCTGTGAACTCTGCGTAAGGACGGACCTGCACCTTTGTCTTCCACAGGAAGTCCCACTGAAGAGAGAATAAAGACAAGTCCCCGACGGCAAAGGTGTGGCCTTGTCATTGGCACCCCTCCACATGTGCCAAGCAGTGGGCAGATGCAGAGGGCAGGCCAGCCTTCGAAGGGGCCACTCTCCTCTCTCCCAGGTGTCTTCCCAGCCCAGTGGGGCGGGGCAGACCTGCTTCCAGGGTGACCCCCACAGTTAGGGTGGGTCTGTGCTGTTGCCAAACCCCAGTGGTCCCCATCAGAACGGCAGCCTGGGTGGCTCAGTCGGTTAAGCATCTGCCTATGGCTCAGGTCATTGATCTCGGAGTCCCGGGATCGAGCCTCACGTTGGGCTCTCTGCTCCTCCCTCTTCCTGTGTGCTCTCCCTCTCTCAGATAAATAAATAAAATCTTAAAAAAAAAAAAAAAAAAGCAACAACCCCACGTGGCCCCAAAGCAGCAGCTACACCCCAAGAGTCTTCACGGAGCCAAGCCACTTGCTGGAGCATGGCGCCCCCACACTCAGGCAGGGCGGGAACTAGAGGGAACCTTCTATCAGGTAAGACACTTTGCCTCTACCGTAGCAGGCTTCCAGGGCTCTCCCCACCTGAGGGGGGGGGGGTGCGGACACTGAACCATAGCCACCGAGTTACTCCCAAATGCAGGCTGGGAGAAAACCCCCCAGTGCCGCTGTACCTCTGATCAGCAGAGTACAAAAGGGGACCATACCAAGAAGCCACGTGTCCTTAAACAGTCAAGGAATAACACCCATCAGCAGGCTAAATACGTCATGCACCGGAGCTAAGCACCGACTGGTTTTCTAGCCGGGGACACAAGGGCCCGTCAGATGTCAGGTTCGTGCTGCTGTGAGGCCGAGTGTGCTGCCAGCCACTACGGGGGCCACGGAGGCCGGGAGAGGGCAGCTGGGGGCCCGCATGAGGCTGCTAGGTCCTGAGACAGAGGCTGCCCCTGCTGGGGACAGTGGTGCTGGGATCCTCGGGCCTTGGGCAGAGGCACACTCCCGTGGGAGTCAGAATACCCAGACTTCATCAGGAGGCGCCAAGGGGTGCTGGCTGCTCTCCCAGTGCCCGGGGCGGGGAGAGAGACGAGCAGAGACCAGCTCACAGAAGCAGCGGAATGGTCTGCAGACAGCGGCCCTCACTGCGGCCGTGGCAGGCAGTGCAGGCCGTCGGCTGGGGCAGAGCACCTCACACCAGATCGGCCAAGCCAATCCCCGCGGCTGCCCTACCCAACAGCAGACGCCACGGCTGGGCTGCGGAACAGGCCAGCAGCACCCAGGCCCCGTCGGCCAAGAGCTGAAGGTAAGAGAGGGAAGGAGCACATGGACATCGAAAAAGCCTCCGACCCAGACAGCATCCCCGACGTTAAGAGCTGGAGAGACACTCCCAAATCTTCCCACCGGCCTGCCTTGTGCACAACTGGGGAAACTGAGGCCAGCATCCCCTGTCCCTGAGACGTGGCCAGGCTCTGTGCCAGCTCTGGCTGATGAGCCCTGGAAGGCTGGATGCTGGGGTAGGGGACTCTACTAGGTGACAGCCAGACCAACAGGTGGGAGTGGGGAGGCCTGAGGGCAGCTGTTAAGTGGAGGAAGGGGCCCAACGACGGGCACAAAGGACTCCCAGGGGATCCCAGAATGGGGCTGAGAAACGAGTATTATTTATTGCAATAACAATAAACTTAATTTCTTATTTAAACAAAAATTAAATACAGTCCCCTTTTTCATTAAAAAACGTTTGGGCTCGAAAGCAGGGACATACAGAACGGGTGTAATGATCAATTAAAGCTTCTCTCGCCCCCTCCAGGCGCCACGACTGTCCCCACAGGGACACAGCCAGGCTGCGTGGGAAGGCCCTGGCTCTGGCCGGCGCCTGTCCCCAAGTGATGGGACATCACTCTGAGTGCCTCTTTTCCCGGCCTGGAGCCTCTGCTTCCTCGCAGGCCAAACAGGTCCGGGGGCGGGGGGGGGCGGGGAGCGCGCGGTAGCAAGTGAAAGCACTCAGGAGGCAGGGTAAACTGCAGGCACTCCATAAATGCTGGCTGGCTACGAGCAAATCCAAGCGTGAAGACCACCCCCCGGGGGTCCCTGGCACTCCCCGACCCCGCCGAGCCCCACCTGGCGCTCTCCGGCCTGTGCTCCGCCTCCGTGGGCACCGGGGGCCGGCCCATGTCCAGGTGCTGCTCCAGCACCTGCTGCCGAAACTCCGACACCTGGGACTGCCGGTCCTCCTTCTCCTGCCGCAGCCGCCGCTGCCGTGCCAGCCACTTTTCCTCCTCGTTGGTGCGCTGGATCAGCAGGGCTGTGGTGGCGCTGCTGCCCGGCAGCGGGAAGATGCTGTGGTTGGAGAGGAGGCTGGGCACGGCGTGGTGGGCGGTGGGCGCGGGCTGCAAGGGGTGCTGCCCGGGCTTCGGGACCTGCAGGCCCGCCTCCTTCAGCTTCTCTGTTGGGGGGGGGGGAGAGGCTGTCACAGTAGCATCTCCGCACCGGGGGCCCAGCCCACGCCTGCCCACGCCTGCCCCCAGGGCCCCTACGGATGCTTTCAGGGAGCACGGCCTCCGGGGACGCTGGGTGGCCGGTGGGCACGGCTCCCGATCGGACCCGCCGGGGTGCGGCAGCTCTGGGCTCGCGCGGGCTGGCGAGAGTAGACCGAGCCCTCCAGAACCACGCGAGCCCATTGTTAACGAGCCTTGTTAAGTCTGATTACATAAGCTCGTGATAAAACAAAATACGTTTGGGCGCCTGGGTGGCTCAGTCGGTTGAGC